GCAATGTCCGTGGCTGTCTCCTCCTTATTGGTGGAGTTGGACCAATAGCCGTAGCGCCACTTCTGTGACGTCATAGAAGTGTTCAAATCTGGATCATTTGTATCAGATCCGTTGCAGCCCCTTTTTAAGAGATTTGGGGAATGGAGGAAAATAGAGAGGGTTGTGTTTTCTGACACTTGGTGAGTTCCCTGGAACACCGGGGACACATATTCATGTATAAAAGACGTTACAAAAGTGCATTTCGAATGATAGGTCACCTTTAAGTGTAATTCATCTATAGAGGAGGCTGTGACCTATATCTGACTCTCTTGCAGTATTCCAAGAAGGTGGACGATCGTTTTGGAGGCTATGTTGCCTGTTCTCTACTAGTATTCTGCTTCATATCCCTCATACAGATCGTCATCTTTCCACAGTGAGTACTTTAATGTTTCCATACTGTATATCTTCCAGTATGTACTGTATGTATTAGGGTTGCTTTCACACCTGTAGTTTGGTTCATTCGGTCTGGATTTATATGTTCGCTCATGTTTATGTAAAATGATAATGATAGAGAGGCGAAGTCCCGCCCATCTACTTCCGACCCATGGGACCATATTTCGGAAAAAGTATGTATGTCCTCAATGGGGAGAGAAAGATTATCTTTCGATCCCGTTTGAATTGTGCCACGAATTACACATCTGATGTTTGTCAATCTTAACAAAATCATTTCCATGTCAAAAAAGTCACAGTTTGTTGTAAAACTGATGAAATATAAGACTATGAAAAATACGCAACTAGAAAGACTACAAATCCCAGAATCCCGGTCCCCGCATGCTGGCTCTTACGGAACTGACTAACTCCCCTTGTGTGTATGTACAGCTCTCAACATGCCCAGACTTGTAGTGATTTTCACCTCTTTTAATACTTTTCGCCTCATTCTGAAAGAAAGAAGTGAAATGCGCCAACGTGACGGCCGTCTTGGTGTGTGGTGCGAGATGGGAGATGTAGTTCATTGAGCGGTTTCACACCAAGAAAAGTGTTACTTCACAGTTTTACGACACATTTTTATTTTTTTTACTTGCACAATTATCTTTTAAATTGACAAACATCATATGTGTAATTCGTGGCACAATTCAAACGGGATCGAAAGGTAATCTTTCTCTCTCCATTGACTTCAATACATACTTTTTCCAAAATAAGGTCCCATGGAGCTCGCCTGGAAAGGGAGGGACTTCGCCTCTATTTGTATTTCTCATTGATGTCCAGAGGAGACATCAAGTAAATCTTAGTGTAATTGTGTAAGCTCTATATATATACTGTATATACACAGTTCGTTCCTTATATAGAAAACTTCCAATATGAAAACATTTCACGATGTAATAATGATGAATGCATTTAATTTGAATTCATGCTAAAACAATATGTTATATAGTCGCCAACACAGTCAAGTGTTTGAAGAGTTTGACTGACATCTTTGACTCTGAACAGGTTTGATTTGGTGTCCTAAATATTTATCTATAAATGTTTGTTATCTTTCCTGCAGCACCCCGGTCATGCTGGGAATCTACATCAGTATCTTCGTCATACTCGCCAACATCCTTTTCATCTGTGCCATATATTCGTGCATCAAGGTAGCCGAGCTTCCAAAAAACATAGATATCTTCATATGAATCATTCACTGTTTGATGTGTAACTCGTTTTATGTTTCCTCTGCCCTTTCTTGTGTAGCTCTTTCCAGCTGCAATGCAGACCGTTTCAAAGAAGATTGTTGAGTCTCGCACCAACAGCACCCTGGTGGGAGTATTCACCATTATCCTTGTGTTCATCTCTGCCTTTGTTAATATGGTAAGATTAAAGAGACGCCATGTGAGGGCTGTTCAGAATACCACAAAGCTACATACTAATACATACTGAACGTTTATTTTTAAAAGGATGGATGCAGTTCCCAAATGTAATGGTTCAATCCACATTTTCTTGAATCAAGCAACAAATAAGTTACATTCATACAACCCCATTTACAAAAAACAAACTTAATATTCTCAATCGCTTAGGGTAATGATGTCATAAAATATAACAACCAACGTTCAAAGTTTAATTTCAAAACCTCAATAGAAGCTACGAATGTGAAAAAACAGACAGCATCCTGTATCCACACGCCTCTGGTACTTCCAGTGTGGCAACATTTTTCTTGTGCTCTCCTGCAAACCCAGATGCTTTTCAATTCACCATAAAGATAACCAAATGACTCCTTGTTGCTAGAATTTCACAATGCTAATATATGGTAAGAAAGACGTTCCAAAACTTTAGTAACAGGGAGAAAAGGCACCGGTGGATCCAACAAAGTCTAATGTGTGTGTGTGTGTGTGTGTGTGTGTGTGTGTGTGTGTGTGTGTGTGTGTGTGTGTGTGTGTGTGTGTGTGTGTGTGTGTGTGTGTGTGTGGCTTCCCTGCAGTTTGCCTGTGACACCAGGAGCTTGGCACAATGCGTCGCCGAAAAGCTGAACACCTCCGCGGCGCTGGTGACGCCCTGTTTGATCCGCAGCTTGAATGTGTCCATTGAAGGGGGTCTGGAGATCTGTCCGAGCGAAGGCCCCTCCTGCCCCTTCCCTGAGGTGAGACCATTGTTGTTCCTCCTCCTCACTGTTTGTGTTCACTATGCCACTGTCTGAAATGTCACATTTGCATTTGTGTTTTTCTGAGATCTGTTGTTGATAACGTCTCTTTGTGATGCTGCTCTCAGTATTTTAGCTACAGCGTGCTGCTGACGCTGCTGGCCTGCTCGGTGTTCCTGCAGATCAGCAGCATCGGGAAGCTCGCCCTCATGCTGCTCATCCAGCTCACCTTCCTGCTGCTGGTGGAGTGGCCACAGGTCGCTCTGTTCGACAACGCAGACCTCTTCGTCACCTCCAATGCCATGTAAGTAACATGGCATTTATTTTCGGCTCTTGAAAGTGAAGCGGGTTATTAAACATCAAGACTTAATGAAAGTTGCCTTTAAATACTTGGCCAGTCTTTTCACTTTTTCCTCTTGATCTGAATCAGTAAACATTCAAATTTTAATAATTTGTTTTATTATGCTTTTGAATCCAAAAGGAAATAATTTGAGGCCGATTCCTTAAGATGTCAATGTTTTTAAATGTAAGTTGACACAAAACTGTTTTTTTAAAATCTTTTGTTTAAGAGATTCTCAGTAAGAATTAGATCTCCAATGGAAAAAATGCTAGTGTCTAAAAAAATATAGATTTTTCAATCAGTATTGAAAACTGAGGTATCTGATTGGCACCAACATACAATGTTTTGAAACAATATGATTATTTGTTCCTTGTTTCTTGCCATGAGTTAAAGCACACATGACTTTGAATCACATTATATTTATTTGAGTTATATGTAATTTTTCTATATTTTATTATTTTATCTAATGTATTTGTTTTCCTTTTCAGTGATTTAAATCAAACTAGTGCTCAATGGTAAGACTTTTTATTTGTATTAAGACTCTATATATAATATCACAAGGATTATTATGTAATGACCAGCATGTTGTTTTTTTGTATTTGCACTTTTAGGTCCAGTTTCAATGAAACTACAAACCAGTGGTAAGAATACATCAAGTGTCACTTTGTAAGGTTTTTAATCTCTAATTTCAAAGATTGTTCTGCATTAATGTGACGCTGTGTCTGTCACTTTGCAGCCCATTCGTTGTGACCAAAGTGTCCCTGAGGGTCATGACTCCAGTGATCCTCACAGTCTTCGTCCTGGCGCTGTACCTGCACTCCCAGCAGGTCGAATCCACCGCACGCCTCGACTTCCTGTGGAAACTACAGGTATGTGCAGCGTCCACTAGAGGGCGCCATCTTACCATGTGAACTACAAACACATTGGCTTCACATTTCTGCTGTTTAAAGTGATCGAGTTGTATTAGTTTATGAATGTCTTCTTATAGAATATCTTTGTGTACACCTGACCCTACCTGACATTTTAATATATATCATTTGTTAATCAAACTTTTATGGTACAGTAAAAGCTATAAGAATTGTAAACAGTCAATGAGCATATCTTTTCTAAATTCACATACTGTACTTTTTTGGACTTTAAGAGTAAGGCTGAAAAATAATTTGCATGTATAAAAAAAACAATGTGTCATAGAAACACTTAATACATTTAGGGGGGATTTCTAGGTATATATACTATACATATACTTAATTTATTATTTGCATTGAATTTAGTTATTTAATGAGCATTGTTTGAAATAATTAACAATCTAAGGCTTCAGCCCACCTCAGTATAAACTAGCGTTGGTTTGGCAGTACTTCATAATTAAGGAATCACTATTGTTTTTTTATACATTATAACAACTGAATAAAGCTATAGATATATTAACTAAAACTGTCCTCTTCACCCCCAGGCCACAGAGGAGAAGGAGGAGATGGAGGAACTGCAAGCCTACAACCGACGCCTCCTCCATAATATTCTGCCCAAGGACGTAGCCGCTCACTTTTTGACGCGCGAGCGGCGTAACGACGAGCTCTTCTACCAGTCCTGTGAGTGTGTGGCCGTCATGTTCGCCTCCATCAGCAACTTCTCTGAGTTCTACGTGGAGCTGGAGGCCAACAACGAGGGGGTGGAGTGTCTCCGGCTGCTCAACGAGATCATCGCTGACTTTGATGAGGTACGCACATTTTGGTATACAGGTAAAGTTTATTGAGGCACGTTTTAAAGCTCAGTGTGAACATTCACCGCTAAATACAAAATACAGGAATGAGACGTTTTGGCTTAATTTGAAAGCTAATTAAAACATGTGATAATGAGTGTGTTTTGCACAATGTGATCACTCTCTGTTCTCAGATCATCAGTGAAGATAAGTACAGGCAGCTAGAGAAAATCAAGACCATCGGTTCCACCTACATGGCGGCCTCCGGTCTCAACGACTCCACCTATGACAAGGAGGGCCGATCACACATTATTGCACTGGCCGACTACGCCATGAGACTGAGGGAGCAGATGAAGTACATCAACGAGCATTCCTTCAACAACTTCCAGATGAAGATAGGTGCGCGAGATTAAAATGTTTTGAAATCGCATTCATTCAGTTTTTCTACTGTGATCAACAGGTAACAGTAGCTGCTTTGTCTTCCAGGTCTGAACATTGGGCCGGTGGTGGCGGGGGTTATTGGTGCGCGGAAGCCTCAATATGATATTTGGGGAAACACAGTCAATGTGGCCAGCCGTATGGACAGCACAGGTGTACCTGACTGCATACAGGTAGGTGTCTTTTTACAACTATTAAAATGCAGTCCACATATATTAACATTTTCTAGCAACCAGTGTTAAAAACCTTCAGTCAGACCCTGGATTCTTGATATTTTGTAAGATTGAAGATAACCCCAAATGACTCCCGTAGAAATGTCTATAGTGCATACAGTGTATGTAAGTCACTTTGGGCAAAACGTTTTAAAAGGTTTCTTATACATCTATGTTTTCCGTTGCTCTCAGGTGACTACAGACCTCTACCAGGTGCTTGCAAACAAAGGGTACGTGCTGGAGTATCGCGGGGTGGTAAAGGTCAAAGGTAAAGGGGAAATGGCAACCTACTTCCTGAACGAAGGGCCGCCCAACAGTTAGCAGCCGGGGCAGCAGCAGATGTCGGGATGTCCCCGCTGCGAGGACACAGCCCCACTGAGCGAGGACTCACAGTGTGAGCAATGGCTACAAACTAGAGACGCTATCACTTGAATCCCAAGTAAAGAGGAAAACAAACTCTAAAGACATCAAATGGAAAGTGTTCTTGATGAGAAGAAAATGTTCTCGTTTAGCAGCCATTTTGGCTCCAAACATGATGAAGGACGCGTGTTTTTCTCATGTCTAGCCTCTCTCTCAGGCTTCTTGAAAGATGCAAAGTCTGTTTATTTAAAACAACGCCTTTTAGCCTGTGTCAAAGAAGATTAACGCTGTACATAAGGCTACTTTTTATTTTACTTTGAGTTTTGTTTTTCTGATTTGTATTTTTTATTTCACATGACCTATGAAGAACAGGTACTCATTTTCTGTTTCTGGATTAATTATTTATTTTAATCTCGATGTTTTGTGCAAAAAGGTCCTTTATAAAAAAGTGTGAATACATACGTGCACAAATATCCAGTTTATTACACGTTTATAAGTGTGTATGTACATGCATATTTGTGTGTGTATGAATATATGTATAAACCGAGGAGAAATATATTGACCAAAGACTAAAGTATTCACTAAAAGCAAGGCAAGACATGTTTGATATGTTCTCGCAAAAGTCAGCAATGATCACCACCTCTGTTTTTTAGGCAGAAGGCCTGAACCCTGTCTTTTTGGCAGCGCAGGCTGCTACATTGTTTTCATAAAATATATCAAATGTATTTATTTTGTCTGTCATTCAGGCAGCGGAGAGCTCTAAATTATAATGTTGACCTCAACCTCTCAACAAAATGACTAAAGACGACTAAGGATGTGAGTAGAAGGTGATATCTGAAATCTATATTTTAAAAGTAGGATCCTCTTCATCCTCATTTCCTGTCGGATTGCTTTCTTAGAGCTTGAGCAGCCAGTGTGCCGCTGGTTTCAGCCGTTACAGTATATATTGTCATCGACTGCTCCTTCCCTTTCAGAAAAGTATTTTTTTGGTGCAAATGGAAATGAAGGAATTTAGATCCAGAGCCATCAGAGGGGGAAACCTCAGATTTCAACGCAGTTGTACCACACAGCCTGATTCTTCCATGAAGAAGAAATAAATGAAGGAAAGAAATATATATTGATTTTGACTGAATACTGTGCTTTGTAATCCTGAAGGGGCATAACTATTTTCACTGTGAGGTTTTTATGATACGACAAAAACTGCTTTCTTGCCAAACATAACTGCTTTGAAGCATGTCTGATTGTGGTATCTTGTTTTCATTTTGGTTTGTTTTAACGTAGGGTATTTTGTATCACCTCTGTATCCATCATTTGTATATTCTTAATATTATTATTATTATTATGATGATTATGATTATGCTTATAATGATGATTCCATTCCAATGAAAAGGATCAAAGACCAGCACGCTTTCTTGTAAAATGCCAGTTGTAAAAGCTCAAGCTCACTGGTACCAACTGATCAACTGCAGCCAATGAATTCTGCTGTTCAACCCTACATGTACAATACAGTATTTCATGTATAGCAAGTAATAACCATTAGCTGCCTTTGCAGCAGAACCCGAGAGGTGTATGCTCACATAAGCAGTAAACACACATATATACAGATGATTCACTGTGCTTTTTTAATTTATTTATGCCACTACTGCAGTATTGTAAATCTCAGTCAGGCTTTAGGTGACCTCTCCCTCCCACACATTCACTTCTCAGTAACATAGGATATCACTGGTGTTAGACTGTGTGAAGAGGACAGCCGAATTAATAAACCTAACCACATATTTCTGTATCCTGCCCACAATCAGTAGAAGTAATAGCTGAGTTTGATTGCCTTAAGTTAATATAAAACAAATCATAGAATAACTCTGACAGGGAGCAGTGCCTGCCTGGACTGCAGATGATTGGACGAGAGATTGATAAAGGGCTTGTTGGGAATAATTTCCGGTGAACATTCTCATCATTAAACTCGATCTTGGTTTCTCCAGCTTCAACTTTTTGTAATTGGGAGAATCGGACCTGATTTAGCTCTTCCGCCACACTCAACACTGGCAACCAACAGTTGATCATGTTTGTACCAAAGCCAGCTCACGCAGCCTCGTGCTCTGTCCCCTCCTGAGCGATGATATGTGGCCTCGGGGCGTGGTGGGAGCACCAGAGGACGAAATGTAATGGAGATCACCAACTATGAAGTGAACTGTGACCAATGAAGAGTGAGTCATATAAGCAGAGTTTATCCAACGGACATGAGTTTTAAAATGTGCACTGTATGTATTCTATTTCTATTGGCTGTCCATAGACTTGTGTTGATTGTTAACTCTTGGGATGTTTTTGGGGGGAACAGGAGGGGAGGAAGGCTGTCCCCCATACTACTGAAACACTGTTTTTGCTCAGGCCTGATGAATCCTTCCGTATGTTTTTATTTGTATTTTCCCTCAGTTGGAGGAGCTGAAAGGGGAGTGTTTTCTGCAAAACTGAAGGACATGAGGAGTTGAGGACTATGACAAAGAGAACAAATAACATTTCCCCTTGAAGAAAAAAAATTAAAAAAGATCAATGGCTGTTTTGCGTCTTCGTATATTTACTTATATTGTTAGATGTGCTTCAGTGCAAATATCTATTACCTGCGACCCTTTAGAATCATGCATGTTTACAGCACTAACAAGGGGTTAACTTGTCAATATAAAAAAAACGTAACCACAGGCAGATCCTTCTACATTTGGAAAGCTGTGCTGGCTTCTAAAATTATATTTTAAATATTCACTTTCTAATGAACCTGTAACTGGAAACAACATCCCGGATTTGGATGTGTTTACCGTGTTGGCATTACTCACAACGGCTATACACGTACATAACGCTTTAGTTATCAGATTCAGAATCAGCACCATTATAACTAATACAGCTGTTCTGCAACAAGGATGTGGTTGTTGACAGAAAACAAAAAAAGATGGTGACTTACTTTTAAGTTGATGTTTTAATGTGAAATGAACAGACTAAGAATACTTGAGGCTTTTGGCAGAAGGACCACGCAAGGAAACTGTCCTGGAGAGCTCTGAAGAACAAACCAATATTACCCATCTGCAGGATCAACCTTTACCTCATGGTAAGTAACAGCTTTTAATTCTGACACGCCAATCTGCCACTTTTGTAGAACTGCATTAAGCCCAATAGGAATTGTTTTAGACATTATTGGTTTGAGACAGTAGGTAAAGAACTCCCCATGGCCCGGTTACTAAACTTAGCTTTAACCATTCAATACAATTATCTTACACAATTAGGAGTAGTTATTTTTAATGTCCTCTAGAGGGAGGTACAGTCTCTCTTTATGAATCACTCCAGTAGTGCATTTTGAATTCTAAGATAATGAAAACCTATAATGAAATAATATCCCTACTGTACCAATAGATGATCCTTAACCCCACACACTGCTCCTTCACGTGAATATATATCTGTAGATGTACATCTTTTTTTGTAAAGGTTGTGAGCTTAAAAGCTTGTAAAGTATTTTCACATCTTGTGTAAAAAAAAAACAGGCACGATTAAAATAGATTTAAAAAAAGAAAAAACTTGAGTTAAAGAATCTAAATGAACCGTGAAAAATCTCAAAAAGATGCTCTGTTTTCAATTTAATCTCCAAAATGAACCCCAAAGCTGATGCTGCCTCTGTTGCTTAATAACTGAAGACAAGGCTGTCAGAAAATGATGAACTCCCGGTCTTTTGTTGACATTTCGTGAACAAACCTGCAAAAGCAATAAATGGATTATAATCACAGAGATCTAGTTTATATACAACGTTATTGAATTCTTTAGATCTAGAAATGATACCTACTTTGTCATCTCACTGTTCTTTCTGGGAAAGGATTTGACTTTGGTCCATTGTGCACGAGGCTTTGACACCATCCATCCATACTGCTGGCTCTCCGTCAGCGGCCTTATGTACAGCTGGTTAGGTGCTGGGGAGAAAAGACAGACACATTTTTCACAAAGAATACAGCTGTGATTCAGACCCCTAATCTGCATGCTCTCTATGTCTACTCACATCTGGGTGTTTTAATCTTTTTGACCATCTCTCTGTGTCGCTCATAGCTCCCATGGTGTATGTCAGTGCTGAAGGGGAGAGGCTGGTGGGAAACGCTGCATGTGTCTTTGCATGTGAGGGGTCTCGATGGTTCTTGAAGAGATGGAGGTGGTCCATCTGTAAATAGAAATGTTATTATAGAATAGAAGATATGTATAATACTAATCCTGCAGCTGCTTTTCAAAAGAAATAAGGATACAGTTGAATGTATGTGTATTGTTTATATACCATATATTGCTTAAATAAAGCATGTATTATATATTATACAGCATCATTCAAGGGTCCTCAAACAGATGCATTCAAGCTCAAAGTTCTTGTATTTGATTTGGCAATACTAAAAATACTCTATTAAAGTCCTGACATTGAAAATATTACTTGAGTATGAAAGTAAAATCAGGAAAATGTACAAGTAGTGTTAAACATTTATAATTATCAATGGAGAAACTGCAACTGTGCACTAAAAAACAGATTAAAATACTTTAAAAGAGAAACAGAAAATCTTCACAATTATGAAGCTACATGAAAATAAACATTACATTTTCATTTTGCACAACAAATATCGTAAACAATGAGAAAATTCGTATAAAATAAGGCTACACAAGTAAAAGTAAATGTAGGCTACTAAACGCTAGTTAGACCCACCACTTATAACGTTAGCTCTAAATGTAGCATGTTATTGAAGCCTGAAGACTTATGAAGACTTAACATGTGCTCTTGTTAGCTATCAGCTAGCTAAGGGTCTTTTACCCTGTAAGTGTAGTTTCAGTTCACTTTGTGTTAGTTAGTTAGTTAGTTAGAAGAAACCACTTTAAACGAGAATGGACTAGCAGCTAAGGTAGGCTAGAGTGTAGCTCCTCTTACCCCGAAAAAGAGACGCTCCTCTGGGATTCACTATCATATTATCCCCTATGGGGTTTTGATCACCCAGGTGCGTTAAACCGAAGAATGCCATAGTGAGACAAAGTTAACCCTGATCGATAAACCAGCCTGTAACCGATCCACAGTCACAGAGACACCATGAAGGAACACAATCTGTAAATAAACCACCACCTTTGGCTTAGGTGTAACCATGGTGATTATACCCGTTTCTAGGGGGACACATCGAACACTCTACTAAACTAGAAATCAATAAAAACACAAACAAACAAATAAAACGGAATCAACACATTTTCTTAACATTATATAGAAATTGTTATAGTCACCAAGACATTGGCACTTTTAAAACGATTGTGTAGAAAAAAGAAAAAAAATACAACAATGATCAATAAATGATCCTAAAATATATAAACGATTGAGTAAATAATAAAATTATAAATATCTGGTATAAATGATATTCAATAAACTATAATTTAATTTAACAGCTCTTTTAAACTAATGTAGGGCTTTATACTGTGAAAGGCCTTAAAAAAGAGAGAGTTTTTCATAAATCTTGCTTTGCGTTACCGTAATCGTTGCCTATTTTAGAATTGTGTTAATCTGCAGGGTAAATTTCTCTCTGTTAGGCAGTCCACACATTACATGACTTGAGTTTGACAAATACCTTATTTTGAGTAAAACCATGGTAAAACCTTTATTCCATTTATATATAAAAAATGAAGAGAAAATATGATCTGTCGATTCAATATCTGTATGGAAAAAGGGACAGACAGTAACTTTCTAATATGATTCATGTGTTGGGGCCGAGCTTATAAACTCAAACTCTGAAGCAACTCATGTTACAACACTGTCTCAGGCTGCAAAGGGAAGTACTTGCATTTCCTCATTCTTGTCACCATACCTTTACGTTTCTTCTACAAAAAATATCCTACAGTTTACATTGTGGTTGTTTTCAGAGCAGCTGCAGAACCGAATCATCATGGAAGTGTTTGACAGTATTTGAAGAAAACGTGATTTTGTCTGCTTGCAATGAGTCACAACATCTCAACCAAAGAAGGTTTTGCAATTTTGTATATGTGGATTTGTAGCTTTTCTTAGTACAATTCCCAAATGCCTTTATGTGCATCCAAAGAGTTGTTGGTCCCAGTAAATGTATACATATTTATTGAAGAATCTCTTGAAGTTCAACCTCAAATGTGAAAGGGAATAAATCCTCAGTTTTCTTTCTGTACAGAAATTCCTGTTAAAGTTCAGCCGAAGCTAATAAGAGCCTTCTGCAGTCAGATCAAGTGATTACAACGGTCGAATAAGCACAGAGTTCTCTCTTTGTGTCAATATCTCTGCTGAAACAAAAGCAAACTCTGTCTATCTAAATCTATTATAGCCTAAACTTGCCTTGCCTAAAGACAAAGAGGGAATTTTTGTGACTCACACAAACTGCTATTTCCATTTTATGCAACTCCAGTAAATATCAAAAGAAAATATCAATTACATTTGTTGGACAGCTTCAGTTACTTTCTTAGATTTTGCAAATATTACTTAATAATAGGTTTTTAAAGCAGTACTTTAACTTGTAGTGGATTACTTACATTGTTGTTGTGTTTTCAATGCAGTAAATTATTTCATCCAACTCTGGATATAAATCGGACTACAAAAATGTATTAAATGTTATTTATGTTTATTTGTTCCTCTTACAGTAGATATTCATTTGTTCCTATTCATCATTATGGGAGCATCGGTGAGAGCAGGGGGAGTCATAATCAAGTCAGCGGTTGTATAAATGGCGTGTCAGAATGGTAAATGATAAGGCATCATGATCATGCAAAAATTGCTCATTGTGTGAGTGATTAAGGAAATGTTGAAACTGATTTCACCAAGCTTTTGCAAACAAGACCACTCAGTCAACCGAGCTTTTAACAGCCTTACATTGAGACACTTCAACTCAAGGTTCCTCTTATCATTTTAAATACACTTTTAAAAGCTTACTTGGCTAAGCTTAAACTTATTTCTTGCACATACCTTTTTGTTTTCATTTAATGAGTTATTGAATGCCTTATCATTTTAAGCAAAGTTACTTTCACTGCTAAAAAAAACTTTATTATGAGTCAATCTATTAAGACATTTCCTCTTTTCAGTGTTTTCCTTCTTCCTCATACTGGTCAGGTGGAGTAAAGCAACAACCTTCTATCCATTCTGAAACCTTTTATAGCTGTTTCATCAAGCTTACTAATTTCTTCACTTTGTAAACCATGTTTTCTCTCCGATTTTTTTTAAATCATTGTTTTCAACTATTTTTAAACATATAGTCAGGTTACAGTGGTTCATTGTCTGTCCCTTGTATGTTTGCCTTTGGGAGGGTGGCACTGTTGCAGATAATGCATCCTCTTAGATATTCTGTTGTTCTTACAATACATTATTTTCCTTGTTTTGTTATTTATGTTATTACCTGGTTTTATTGTGCAGTATTTGTACTTATTTTGATTTGCCTTTTTTAATGTATTCTCTAGTTTCTTTACTCACCCACTACTGCTGTGAAATGTCATTATTAAGATTATTATGATTATTATTACCATTATTATTATTATTAATGTATTATTATCATTGTTG